GTTGCTTTCTCCCATCAGCCGTCTCTATCTCGAATAGGTATGACCTATCGAGGCCCAGTCCAACTTGTACCGCCAGGTCCTCGTCTATGATGACAACCTCACTGGCGTTATCAATCACAGCATCGAGTACCGCTTCCTCGTTTATACTCGTCTCCACGGCCCCGCTACCAAGTATATAAAACTTGTCTGGAGGCACACCTTCCATTCCATCGAGAAGGACTGTCGTCATGCGATCCGCTCTGGCAGTCACCCCCGTTACTGTTACTGTAGAAGCTTCCGCCTTAGGGGCGTGACCCGCCTCCGATAGAGGTATGCGAGTCTTTAGCGTGATCATCTGTAACTCATCACGAGCCGGTTTCGATGCCGCCCGGTACTCCAGAATAGAGCACTGCATGGGTTGCCGAAGGGCCCGCCTCAGTGGCTCGACCGTGTCAATCTCGTCCAGCGAACTCTTCATTAAGAACTTCTTGACTCCGCGCTTTCGCGGCGAAAGGATAACCTCCTCTCCATCGACCCGCTGCCCGTCCTTCTCCGCCATCACGTAATCCGTATCAGTCTTCTTCGATGTAGACCCTCTTGCCGACTTGGTGGCTGCCACCCTTATGGGTGTGGTCGCCATATCCCACTCAAAGGTTATCTTGATGCTCTGGCTCCTGACCGGCTCCATTCCTTTACTCGTCTTTATTCTCCTTGCTTCGACATTCTCCTTCATCGAAGGGAACATCGATACATCTCCGAGATCATCTGCCCACTTGACGTACTTGCGGTCGTCAAGCACGACAAGTCCCTCTTCTATTGCCCGTTTAAGGTTCGGGCAATCCCTCTTGATATGATCTTCTCCTCTACAGTAGACGCATGAGTTCCTCGGAGTAGATGCCCTGTCGTCTGCGCCTCTAGAGATCGAACTCCTGGCCGCCTTGGGGTCAGGCAACTTGGGATATGGTTCTGATGAGACGCCATATCCCCCTCTCTCATTCCGACCGCGCGGATCGTTGCGCCGGTTTCCTCGAAACCCTCCTTGCTCATACCGCCCTCACGAATCATTCCGGCGGTCCCCCGAGTCATATCGTCCTCGTGACTCATCGCATCGGTCCCCTCGGTTGTACCACCCCCGCGATTCGTCGCGCTGCTCTCTCGCTTCTCCCCCGCGCTCAAACCGTCCGCGCGACTCATCTCGTCGTTTCCAGTCCCGATCTCCTCTCTCATATCTACTTCCTCTGTAGCCATCTCGACCCGACCTCTCGTATCTGTCGTCCCTATATCCATCCCGGTCCGATCTTTCGTATCTGTCGTCCCTCTCCCATCGACCGCGGGAGTCGCCTCTACCCCGATCGGCCTCATAGCGAGGGTATCGGGGGATCATCTAGCCTCCTTGCTCGCACAAACAGTTCGAGATCTCTGCGGTCTCGGTCTATCTCATCGTCCCTACGTCGCCATAATTCATCGTCTTTCTCTCTCCGTCTCGTACGATAATCAATCAGCGTCCGAGGATTTCTATCCTCGACACTTCTCCAGGGATCGTTGTTCCTACGGTCCCAGCGAAGTGAATAGGACCCTCCAGGTTTGTCCCGGTAGGCCGTGACCCCTGTGGCGGTCACAATCTCTGTAACCTGTCTCATTAATCCCTTCACCATGTCCCGTATCTCCTTCACTTCCTCASCCACGGCCTCATTCTTCTCCGACCAGCGATAATCCTTGAAATCCGGACATCTATTAGTGGCATACTCCTTGTAGAGAGAGAAGTCACGTCTYCTCATCCCTCTCCACACCAAGTCCTTGTAATCGTCTGCCTCTGCCTTTATCGCAAGCTTTAGGACTTCCGGGAAATTAAGCCTGTCGCGCGGAAGATCTCTAAGTATACTCTTTTGCCTACCTTTGGACAAGTGTCCGATGAAGACAGTACAGCGCTCGACCTCTGAGATCTTCCCCTTCTTCATCAGCACGTCGGAGATCTTTTGGAAACGCATCCCAAATGCCCGTACGCTCTCATCTTCATCTTGAGTCATTGTTTCAAGGTCCTTGATGGAATATTTGTTATCCTCCAATTTGTAAA